CATTAATTTAAAATGAGAAATAAGTCAAACAACTATAATCTTGAAATTAAAAGTGCAAGTACCCAATTCGGAGTATAAGTTAATGACTTAATTCGGATATAGCCATATAGGCCCATTATTTGATTACAAAGTAAAATGTAGTTTTAGATTTTAATTTTTTTTTAGAATTTTATTAAGTAAATTTTGGGATTGTTTTTATAAAAAAAGTTGATACGGGTATCCGTCAGGATACGAGTATCGGAAACTTTCAAAAAATTACAAAAAAAAAGTGGAAACTTTTAAAAATTGCAGATACGGCCCGGGAACGTACGGTACGGGTATCCTAGAGTATCGGATACGGGAACGTATCGGATACGCCGATACGCTACCCTAGGGAAGTATCCGTGCTTCATAGTTTGGTACCATTTTGAAAGCTTTTTTAACTTCTGTCCCTCCATCGATGACACTCATGTACCATTTCGAAAGCATTTGATACCATCAATGAAAGCTTTAGTAATTGGGAAAAGGGGCAAAAGACCCCCTGAAGTTATCCTCAATGGGCATCCATGCCCTTAAACTTTTCTTTTGGGCAAAATGCTTAATAATTCTCCAAAGAGGGGCAACCAACCTCTTTATTCTCCAAAGACCCCCTGTAGAACGGCAAGTCGACAACTGTTAAAGTTGTTCTTTGGGATTTTCAAAAAAAAAAATACCCCATATGTTTTTATTTTATTTGAGTTATATGAAGTACAAAATAAAAATAAAAGGATTAGAAATACAAGAGAACCATAGAAGCTACTTAGTACTATCTTCGTTCTTAAATAAATGTAACATGTGAATTTTTACATTATTACATGTTATACTTTGATCATTGATGTATTAATAGTTTATTTTATAGAAATATATTGTTAAATTTGTTTCATCCTAAAATTTCAAAATATTAATATTTTAATTTGTGTGTTAAAAGAGAATCAAATATATAAATGGTTAAAGTTGTGGATTGACAAACGTTACTAATTGACTGTTGCATTTGTCTAATAACAATTGTATGAAATAGTGATTGTACAAAAAAGGTATTAGTAGTTTAAAAAAAGATGTTCCGTAAAAAAAGTTATTAGCAATTAGAAAAGAATTGCTTTGTACTATGATTAGAGCTCGTTTGGTAACACGGAAATTGACTTAATCGGTTGAATGTATTAAAATTTATCAAATTCTACTGAAGTCACTCAATTAATTGAATTTATTGAATTACAAAGAAATTGAATTTAAAATGTATTTTTGTTAATATTCCTTGCCCTATATGACTATATCATTGTCTCATTTTACATTTTCTCGTCTGTCATATTAAAGATGTTTTTACTTGGACAGTTTTCAGTTCCAGACTAAATAAGACCAGACTTCCATAGTTTACAAAGAGACCAGACCACACCAGTTCCGACCAGACTAGATCAGACCAGACTTAAACAGATCAGACCAGATCAGACCAGACGTAAACAGACCAGACCAGACAAGTAAATTATAGTCCAAGTAAAAACATCCTAAGTTTGTCGCATATGATATTTTTTAATATTTGGGCGATTACTATTTTTATTATTTTATTCACATTTTATCAATTTAATTCTAATCACACAATCTCAATTTTCTTAATAACCGCACTACTCCCTCTTATCTCAATCTTAAGGGGCGAATGTATTATTATAAAGAAAAGTCATATGAAAAAGGCTAAAATACCTGGCTTTAAATAATTTGAGCCGATTTAATAAAAAAAGTGATTTCAACCACACTTATTTTGATTATTTAACAATTTTGCTAAAATAGTTAATTAGTTTAAAATAGTTTGATAAAAAGATTGACCGATACTACATTAGTCGAACCAAATTAGTTCTGTAGCTCTATTTGTAATATGGATTCTTTTCTAATCGTTTTTACGTTTTATTCCATTGCACATATGTGTCAATTAATTTACAAAATTAGTTAATAAACAAATTAAATCAATTAAAGGGAGCAACATAATATTTGCTACTTCCGTCAAATTTGTTTTTGCCCCTTTTCCCTTAGTAATTATATTACTAGATGGTATCTTGATTTCAAAAGCACTATAAGAGATTTTAATTACGTCCTGCCCAATACCTACCATTACTTGGCACCTTTGAAAATTTCGAAACAAAACCATTTATGATAACAAAAAGGCCACCTCCCTGAGGCGATATATGCTACTCCCTTGAATTATATAATACTTTTTGGTTTATGATGTTTGACAGACAATAAAGCAAACGGATCTCTGTCTGCACTCAAATTATTTTTAGAAAAATGAAATTACATATTCTGAAACTACATTAAAACCGCTACAAAACCTGCAAAAAACAATTCAAACCGCTATAAAATTTTGATATATAAAGTAAGAGATTAAAAGTGATTTGTGTTGATCAAGTGAACAGTAAAAATATCTTATAAAATGGGACAGAGGGAGCATAAAGACTGAAATTTTTGCTATGTCAATTGCCAAACCGTTCATCACGAATAAACCTGTTGCCCCTTTCAACATTTTCATCACCCCTACCAATAAAAAAGACAAGAGACATGTTATTACTGCTTGGACCAAACATCCCTCTACCTATTGCAAGATTAACATAGCTTCCTGCGTTTTAAACATTTAAAACACAGCCTTTTGCGCTCCGCTACTATTGTCAGAAATAACTAGGGCAGCTACATAGGTCATGCTACCCATCTTGCAAACCACGACCAGCCCACTATTGCTTTATATGATGCTATTGATTATATTATCCCTCTCTTATGCAAAATTAACAGTTGTGATTTTATTTTCGAGGTTGATAATAAAGATGTCTATGAAGGACTCTCAGAGCTATCACTCCAGCATTGGCAATTCTGGCCACATATTTAAAGCATCTGAGCAAAGCTAAAAAAATATCAACTACACAGTTACCCACATCAACCCGAAGATCAATAATGCGGCAGAATTCTTATCTTGTAGAAGCATGTCTATTAAAACCATCACTCACCATTTTAATGATTTTGTAGGCATTCTCAAGTTTGATGCTATTATCTTTCCTTATATTAATTGATCTCTTTTGTTTTTAAGTAGGCATCGGTTTGACCCTCCTACTCTCTGTAATCCTTTTTCTTTTAATAATATTTAGTGTGGTGTTCCCTGGCCCCGCCCCAGAATCTTAGGGTTTTGGACTTAAGGCGGGATTTAAAAAAAATTAGAAACCTACTAGCATTATATATACAGAAACAAATTGGGCATAATTTCTTTTGAAAGGAGAATACTTATTTATTATTCATAATGAGAGTAACAAGAGATAAAACAATGCAATAGCTTAAGGCCGGCTACACTGAAATGAGACATAGAATTGACTAGCCTCTGAGGACCCGTCAAATTCGTTGTACCTGCTACTAAAATGTAAGATAACTAAAAAAGAATTTTTAAAATAAAAACAAAATAACTCAAAACGCCACATTTTTACCGGCCACTGGGAAGAGAGAAGTGGTTTGTTGATCCACTTCCAAAGGAAGCATCCCGATTTTACCAGCATTCGAGAAAGAAGAAGAGGTTTGACCAGCCACCTCCAAAGAAATCATCTTGTTTATGGGATCTGTCAGTATTTTAGGCGGTGCTGTTCTGGGAGCATTGCCGCCTTGCCATTTATTGACCCCACTCCATCAGCCTCCTCCATTGACATCCTTTCACGAGTCTTATTTAAACTCTCCATTAATAGCCAACACAATGAATGTCGTATCCGAGACAAAGAAGAAACTACAAAATTCACGAACAAAAACACAAAATGTTCACAATTGGAACGGACCAAATTCTCAGGCAGAGAAAACTCAGCCGGACAAAATCTCGGCCGCCCATTCCAATCCCAGGCTCAGCTCTCGCGTCGAAGGGCAAACGAATGAAATGCACGCCAGACGGTGCCGCTCTCGCTAGGTTTTTTCTTTCCCTACTCAACCCACACCTAGGCAATTGTTTGTTAGCCAAAACTTATTTACACGCTGGTATAATTTATTACATTGTAAGAACTTACAAAATCAGCTATTAACCCTAAATGTGAGTAAAATTAGGGGTGAACATGGTCTGGGTCGGTCAGAGTAATTGATAAATTTTCAAGAACAACCGCTTTCATTTAATAGATAATTCGGTCTGGGTATACCAAGTCTCGAAAAAGGAATCGGACCAAACCCACCCTATTTGAAAAGGGTCAGTTAGGTTCGAGTTCTCGATCTTATTATTTTATTTTTTGTAAAAATACCGCTAACGCTAACAAAATATCTAGTAGGTAATAACATTCTCAAACTAATTAAGTAATACAGTAATACAAAACAAAGTTTTGAATTAGCTAAAAAAATTGCTAACCAACAATCAATAAATTAAACAACACACAACCACACAAATTAAATCACACCAAATCTTGAAATGTGGAAAATTAGATATCATCATTCATAAATTAGAAAGACAACACCACAACGTCATAAGAAATTAGACAAGTTACTAGACATTTATGTTTATGATAACAATTTAAAGCTTGATAAATTTCAAGATATAAAAAAAATTTAATGCATTTGGAATATAATAAAGAATTGGGGACTATAATTTAGAAGATTATATATAGATGTTGAAACTCTTTTGAATAACCCATGAACATGAAGAAACTTTAGGAGTTGTTAGTACTTTTAAGTATTAGCTTAAATAAAGTCTATTATTAGCTTTGTTCATGGGTAGAGTGTTTTAGATATTATAGATATTAATAATATAACAAGTTTTTATAAAAGAAAAAAATTGAATTAGAAGATATGAAACATAGATCGTGATGCTCATCACTAGTCTCATAATAATCAATAGAATAAATCAGATACTCACTAAAAATACACTAATACTTATTTAGTGGAAGTCAGATACTTATTTTTCACTTAGATTACAAAAATGTCACCAAAAATTAGACCATACTACGTATTAAAATTAGACCATATTAGTTGGGCTGGATTTACATACCCTACATGGAGGATGGCCTAAAATTCAATTATCACTTCATCAAGGTAGTCGTGAACAAAAGTTCTGGATAAGTTACGTACGACTGTATGAGTTGCGAATCAGCTGCGGCGTCTTCCCTCCTTCACCACAAAAGCGAACAGAATGAGCTCCGTATCTTCACTCTTCATCTTCTCCGCTACTTCCAAATCGCACTCCATTTTCATAGCTCCAAAACCTACCGTCTTCATTCTCAAACCCCAGCAGTCCAGCCTCACTTACTTTGCCAGACGTCTGAATGTAAAGTTTCGGCCGCTTAAGGGCCCTTGCCGTCGAATTCGGGCCAGCGTCGATGTCGCGTCCACCTCGGCCTTCAAACCCGGAGCCTCCGTGGAGAGCGACAAATTGCCCTCTGATATTCGGAAGCGAGCGATGGACGCAATTGATTCCTTCGGAGGACGAGTCACTGCTGGGGATGTCGCCAGTAAGGCTGGCCTTCAGTTGAGCGAGGCTCAGAAGGCTTTGCAGGCTCTTGCAACTGACACCAATGGGTTTTTGGAGGTGAGACCCGCCGATGTTTTTCTAGACTAACTACGGGTTCTGCTATTATACTTAATCAATTTAGATAAAGAGTAATTATCTGTTGAATAATGCCACTATATAAAGTCTGTGAAGAAATTGTCATGCTGCTATAATCAGCCATTCGCCAGTAATAACACTGGGACACACTTTAGAAGGATGAGAACGAGTTCTTGGATAACCATGTATGAAGTATGATTTCGTGCCAAAAAGACTCGGACTTAAGACTGATAAAGGGGGTATTGCAAGCTAAACTTTGCAGCTGCCATTTGTTCTCTACGCAGAAGTAAGGCGGGCTTGTGATGTGTGAAGTTTCTAGATTGGTTGGCTCTGGTCTATGAAGTTTCTAGGTTGCAAGGGGTCATGGCCTTTGCCTCCCCATTTCTATGGAATCTCCTATGGAATCTCTAGAATTCTCTAGGAGCTGAGGCCGCACCAGAGCTTGTTCAAGGAACTAGTCCTTGGCACAGGGCTTAAATTTCAGATGGTTGTATATGGATTCAGCATGGGCTGTAGGTTATTGGTTTCCGTAGATGTTTTAGGGTTTAAATTTCTACGGAGTATCATTTACTCGATTTATCTGGTTTTAGACTATTAGATTTGAATCTTTTCATTAGTACTCCGTAGTACTCCGTATTAGTTTTTATGCAAGCTTAGTTTTATCTTCGTCTTATTTGGTTCTTCTAACTACTATTAATGACTAATGTACCTCATTGATTTAATAACAGATTTTTATTACAAATTTAATTTCTTATTATTACTTATTTTAAAAGTATTTTCATTTTTATCTATCAGTGTCCTCATGTTTGTTTCACTTAAATTTTTAACTTTTTATACAGTATGTGTGACTTTCATTATGTATGTGTAGAAGATTGATCTGATTTTGTGTCTCCCCTCTCTCTATTTATTATTTTTAACCCCGATGCTATATGTCGATTCACGTTAGCCGAACCCAAACTACATTCGCATCAAGCTTAAACTTCCTGCTTGCATTCACGCACCTCCGGAAGCTGACACTTTTTTGGATTAAGGCTAGGATGTTGTTGTAGTTGCGTATGTGACTTTAATAATTATACATTTAAAAATACAAAATTTGCATTATTTATTTTAATTTGCTGAGGTGGATCTGTCAGGTGTCAGATGAAGGCGATGTCCTTTATGTGTTTCCCAAGAGTTATCGTTCAAATCTTGTTGCTAAATCATTTAAGCTGAAGATTGAACCGCTACTAGAGAAAACAAAGGTTCACACAAAGTAGTGGCTCTGCATCTTGATATCATCCACCAAGTCTTATCTTCTTCCCCAATAATTAATGTTCCACGCACTTGGTTGCAGATGGCAGCAGAATATTTACTCAAAGTTTCATTTGGAACTACTCTGGTTGCTTCAATAGTTATTGTTTATGTTACAATTATTTCTCTTGTTCTTTCAAGCAAAAGGTATCAGCTAAAATTAAGTTCTCCATCACCCTGGCTTCCTTCTTTACGATTACTAATCATGTGTGCATCAATCCTTCCTATAGACAATTGTGCTGCCAATTTTGATACTTCTTCCCGTGTTACAGTGATGATGATGACAATCGTGGAAGGCGAAGCAGATCTTTTGATACAAATTTCACATTTTACGCAAGCCCAAGGGATTTATTTTGGTAACATCTCGAATACATGTATACAACCCTATTTTTATAGGGGAAATCCTAATAAATCTAGTTTTACCTATTGTTAAAACTTTATGAAAGATTCTATTCTGGTCATTGTTTGATCTTCTTCTTTTATACTTGAATCTGCCTTGTTTTCTTGATTTTTAAATTTTTTATTAGTCTTTATTGACAATGCCTAATGCCACCACCAAGGTTTAAAAAGGCGGGTTCCGCTATCAAGGTGGTTTGTTCCTAAGAGGTGAGGCGTAAGCCTTGAGGCATAAACCTCAAAATACATAGGCATATAAAACTTAAAATAGTTAAACTAGTAACAGACAACTAAAGAAGTAAAGGATATATCCATATGAGCTAATACCAGTAAGCGTGTAGTCCAAAAAGTGTGAAACACAAACACATTTTAGCTAATACCAGTAAGTCATTAGAATTCAAACACACAAACAGAAACATCACACACAAGTAGACGTATCGCGCACAGAAATATCACATACAAACTGAAAGATGAATAGAAAGTATACGTTAAGGACTTAGAGTTTAAATTAATAAAAGACTTGTTAGGGTTTAAATGAAAGGGTTTAAATGAAATAAGACTTGTTAGGGTTTAGTGTGGCCACATATTTAATTAATAAACTTCTATATAAAAGTACTCTGGGCCTTTTTTAAGTTACTGCACATTAAAAACAAAGAAACAAATGAAATATGCCTCAAAAACGCCTCAAGGCATATGCCTCAACTTTTGAGGCGTAAGCCTCTTAACCTGCGAAAAAAACCTTAGCCCTAATACCCATTCTGTACGTCTCACCTTGAGGCACGCCTCAAAACCTGCCTCTTAAGCGCCTTTTCATACCATGGCCACCACATATGAAATATGGGCAATGATTAACAAGTGATACATTGGTAGACCTGTATGATCTATCTGTAGTTTGTTTCTCCAATCTCTCAGTTTATTTAGCTCATTGCATTTATGTGGGACTTAATCGGTTTAAAGTCGCTTACGTATTTTAATGATGTGGTTCTATTTGTTAGGCAGGTGTAATGCAATATTTTGATTACTTGACCCTTGTTCCATATGTTACTGGTGAAGTACCAAGTTTTTGTAGGACTAGAATAAGCTTTAATCACATGTGGTTCCCTGTCATTTCTTTTAGGTTTTGGGATCCATACTACAAGAAACAGCAAGTGCATGATGATTCTGGTGGGATGAACTTCATTGCATCTGTATGTAGAAAAGACCATCTTCCTGAATATTGTACTCTTGGAATCAAATGATGAAACAAGGAAACACCCATGCAATTTTCTTTTTTTGCAGCTTTTCTCTTTTGTGTTTGGTGATGGGGATCCAAATCAAGGTATTGAAGAAAAGAGGTGGAAGTTGGTAATATTTGAGCACTGAATTTAGTGGTCCGTTGCTGTTAATGGTTTCAGTTTGATTGTATTGATTATATCAGCATGTGTGCATCATCAATGTTTTTGTGATCTTCCTTTATACGTAGCATCTAAATATGTCAGGTTCGTTTTTTCATAGTCTATCCATGTTGGGGGCCTTCTGGGGGGGACGATGGAGTTCTTATTTTTTGCACTACCGTCACTAGTCAATGTAGTAGAACTTGGTTTCTGCATGATATAACTTAAGCACAATTTTCCTTTGGTAAGTTGGCGTAAAAGGTGATGGTATGAAGAATCCTGATGTTAAAATACTGCGAATATGGGTCTCTGGGTCACTGGGGACTACCAGATGTGTATTTTTTTCCCAACACACAGAAGTTAAAGTACATAAAAGTGTTTGATATGTAATTTTTCATTTAATAGTTGCCTCTTAATGTAAGGTAGTGATGATCAAAGAAACTGATGGGGTGTCGTAGTTATAGACTTATAGCAGTGGAAGTGGAGTTGGGTAACACCAAGGTAGTCAAAGTCGCGAGGCACACTCAAGGCACAAAAAGGCGCTCGCCCAATTCATGTCAGGCGCATTGCTTAGAATTATCTCATATACTATTCTGCAATTATCAAACATAATGCATGTAACATCAAATTGAACCAACTGCATTTAAAAGTCGCGTTTCTAAAAAATAGTCATGATTCAACAAAATAAAGTCACGGTTCACAAAATAAAAACAACTGAATTCAGAATTCATAACTTAAATAATAAAACTGAAAATAAAAAGAAGAAATATAGTTAGACCTGATAGACTGGTAGTATATATATGTATATATGTTTGAGTTGTATAGAGTATATAAGTAGTAGATGCTGAAAAATATAATGAAAATGGAACGATGAAGATGAGAGTTACACTTGATAGACTGATAGTATACATATATATGTTTGAGTTGTATAGAGTGTATAAGAAGTGGATGCTGAAAAAAAAGAGAGAAAGAAAATGGAACGATGAAGAAGTGGATAGACCATTAGACTGGTAGTATTCACATATGTTTGAGATGCATAAAGTATACGAGGAGAAGTAGAGGTAACATGAGTAGAGCAGAGCAAGAGAGTTGAGGTAGTGAACACTTCCTTTCAACAACTCAGGTTTAACATAGGTTTAGGTTGTTTTGACCTTTTTTTAGATGGGATTTATCTTATTAAAACTATGGGCTTATCATTTAAAATAGTCTGAAACATAAAAATCAGCTTAAACAAGTTTCCCCCTTCATGCGAGTAGAGCGAGTTCGTTTTAGCGCTTCAGCACTTCGTCTCCATAACTGTGCCTAAGACGGGTACTTGCGCCTGGCCATTGTTCAGTTGCTAGGGCTCATATGCACCTCGCCCGGTGCGCTTAAGCACCCATGTGCTTGCTTTTGACTACACTGGGTAACACCAATAGTTTTCATGGCATGGTTTGTACACGTTGGTGGTAGCCATGGATAGGACTTCTAGATTTGCAGGATTATAGTAATCGACTCATCAGCTGGGGTTGTTTTTTACATGCATATTTGTATTTCATAAAGTACATTTTACTGATTAGGCCCCTATTTCCAAATATTTTGAAGTTCCCCACTTGCTATATGGCACAACAGTTTTGCTCGACCCAACCTAGATCCCACTAATTCAAATAGAGAAAAGATTGTACACGGAATGAAGTGATGGTTCTTACATGTGCACGTGATTGAATTGACTTGTGAAGGCTTAAAATAGTGATCTAGAGCACCACGTTAGTTTCCACAAGAATGAATATTGACGACATTCATTCTAAAACATGGAGATCTAGAGCAACAAGTTAGCTTTCACGAGAATGAAAATTGTTGACTTTCATTCTCAAACAAGAAACATATAAGTTTATTCCAGACAATTGTGCTCAAAAGTCTTGAGAATGTAAGTATATACCGGAGTAGTGTCATAAGCCTTAAACCCTATTAGGAAAATAATAGTCTTGTTTAATTATGACTAACCCTACTTTGTCAAGTCAAACTTTAATCAAGTTAAATAGTTCAAGTTGGTGCAATAAAACAATAAGAAATTGATAAGAATAGCAGTAAAACATTGATTAAGTTCACAAATAGGATTTGTGTTATCTACTCGGTGAGTACTTGCAACTCGGGAGGTGGCCTTTACGTTTAGCAATCCGACTCGGCCCACCTTGTTTTCCGAGTTACTCACCGAGTTGCTTGACTAAGGAAAATTTCTGACTCGGCGAGTTACTCGGCCAGTCTTAAACTATTTTTTTGGTTGAATCTGAAAAGTTTTAACTTTTACTTTTGATTAAAGAGGGATATTATGGGATTTATAAATAATGATTAGGGATTTTAAAAAGTGGAAATTAACCTTAAAAGTCTAGGTTTAAAGGTATTTCAAACATCGGCTCATTTCAGCAGTAGTTCCTCATCTCTAGGTAAGTTATTCTCCACTATCTTCTTTCTCATTACTTCTTCATTAGGATATTATTATTATTATTATTATAATTATAATTATTATTATTATTATTATTATTTTATTCATATCTAAGAATGATAAGAATAATATACTACCTCCGTTCTCTTTTAATTGCAACATTGGACTTTTTGCACTATTCACATATTCTACTTTGACTATAATTTATTAATTAATGTATTATAAATTAAATTTTTAAAAAATATTGTTAAATGCTTCTCATTCTAAATTTTCAAAATATGATTTTTTTTTAATTTTTACTAATAAGAAATGAAAGATATTAATGATCAAACTTGTGCGTTGGCAAATGTGAAATGTTGACTGTTGCAATTAAAAGGGAACAAAGGAAGTATTACTATAATTTCGGACATTTATATTTTAAAATTAATTGATATAAGGGCGAGTAATCACCTAATAATCCCGAGTACTTGTTCCTACTCGCTACTTGGCCCTTGGCTGAGTCGATACCGAGTAGCGATTTAACTACTTAGAATAGGACTAGTTTTTCAAATTAGGACTTACTTTTAAGTTTTAACAAATTTTCTCTAAAAAAATCCTACCCTCAACAGGACTAGGAGAATTTGGCATATGCTACTGATCGATGCAAGTGACATCATTCTCTTGAAGACTTTCATTATTGGAATTCTTTTTGTGATTATTGAGCTTGTGGTCACTCATGGATGTCGACTCTTACATCTTGGTCTCTATCGATTTTGGACAACATTGTGTTTATTTTTCAGACATTGTGCCTGTTGTGTCATTATGTCTCCCCTCAAAGTTATTTATTGTGCTTCTTGGTCTCCGTCAATTTTGGATAACATCGTGTTTATTGTGCTACATTGAAAAGATAGAGAATATAAGAGTTGATATGGCTTGGCTCGGCTAGCTATGATCTGGTCCTTTTAATCATTTAGCATTGATCTGTACTTATGCAGATTGGGCAATATATATCATCAAATGGTGGCGTTGTCACTGCTGAAGAACTTGCTCCTTATCTTGATATTGAGAGCAGTAGTAAAACGGTATATTGCTCGGTTTGACTTGCTTTATTGTGATTCTTCAATGTTTCCTTATATAAAATAATTTTCAAAAAAATCTAGAGTATTTAAGTGCCACAATTGGGTTATTTATTTATGCCTGATCTTTTTCGGGGATTTTACTTCTTTTTAGGTGACCTACTTACTTTATGTGGGTTTGCTAGATGCCCCTTACCTCTCCTTTCTATCCTAACAATACCAGTCATCGTTGATTACATGGTAACTTGTTATGCCATAGTTTTTTAACTTTAGGTTAGTTAGTTTTCTGGCGTTTAATTGGTAGGTCCACGTTAAATATCTGTTGGGCTAACTCTTTTGCACAATTTTTGGACACTTCATATAAGATTTCAATTTTTGGTTTTCTTTTCTTTTATATTTGGTTACTTTCACACACTGCTACATTATATTTATTTCTTCAACTGATGTATTTGTTTTCTGTAGGATGATGAGTCATACATACTACCTGTGCTTTTACGGTTTGATGGTCAACCAGAAGTAGATGGCGAGGTCTGTCTCAGAATCGACTAATAATAGTGTAAACTGTAAATAGAGTTCTTCACCCAATTCCTTCTTTTCTTGCTTGGACTTTGGTCACTCTCTTGATCACATATCTTTTTGTTAACCATTTGTTTTTATCACATACTCGTATATCTTCAGGAGCCACCTCTAAAATTATGTATTATCCAGTATGTTGCCTCCTTGTTCTTCACCTACGAACTTTTACATGCTATATTTGATAAAATAGGGAAATTTATGATGATTTACATATGATTTTGCATCACATGCTTAATGTTCGTGCACTGCAATTTGTTCCTTGAATGATCTGGCCAACAAAATGATCAATTTAAGGCTTTCTGAACAAGATTATAATGTTGTACTGATAGCCGCCTCCCCTCTGGCTTCCTCCTCTTAGTCAAGGTGGTCTCAGTAGCTCTCTTTAAATTTCAGGATGTTAATATGTGAAGTGAAAAAAATTGTGAAATGTGATGCTCAAAAGTTTGCATGGCCTCCATATCTGTAAAATCATATTTCCTGTTTAATTTCAAGGGTAATATTATTCCACTTTAGAATCTCATTTATAGGTAAAGATAATTTTTTCAGGGAAATATTCTCTACCGGTTTCCATCACTTCAACGCACAGGTGTTCGTCAGAGTAGTAGTGGAAGGAATGAGTATGGTGGAAGAAGACAGGCTGAGTGGTTTGGAAATGAGAAATTTCTTAAAGAGAAGAAGTGGCAGTTGAGGTATTTTTCTCAAAATATATTATAATTATTATTTAAAAATTCAGATTTAACATTCTTGAGTATTGAGAGATTGTTCTCCTTGCAGCAACACCAGCCCTTCGCAGAAGGCACTGGCAATTGGTTTGGGTGGGCTTAATCTTTTTGGCGTCATTATCCTTGGTGCAATGTTAAAGTATTGATTCTGCTGGCTGTTTTTTTAAATTCCACCTTTCTTTACATTTTAATTGATATGGTTGTTTGTTTTCTATCTTGAAGGGATGTAGGTCATGTCACAGTAAGCCAAAGTAGTCTTCTCTCTCTTGTGTCTGGTATATTTCCACTACTCCAGGTATTGCTATATCTCTTTATCCCATTCTGATTTTTGGATATGTTTTTGTATCATGGGCATGTGATTGTTCACATTAACCTTGTAGGTTTATGCTTGGTCTTTCTTCACAATTCCAGCCGTTAGATGGGTTTTAATTCAAAATAGAAATGCCAAAATTGAAAGGAGAAATACAACGAGGAAAAAATATGTCAGTGCTCTTGAACGTCCAGATCTCTCTCTAAGGCGAAAGGTATATTAGCGAAAGGCCTATGCTCTACTACTTTTTGATGTCTAAAATTGATTTGGGAGGATTTAGAAGCTGAAAGTTATATTTTTGGCTTTTTTAATTAATGCTTTCGGTTTAAAGCGTTTGAAAAAATGAACTTTAATTCAAAAGCCACAATCTGCTTTCAAAATGGTTTTGAAAAGCTCTTTCAAAAAATACATGTAGGTGCATTCTCAATAAATTGAAAATAACATCTATACCTATTTTTTGAAAATGTTCTCTACTCTTTACCCTTTCCTAAAAACACTTCTGATAATCTGATTGAATAGAGAACTAACTCAACCATTATCTTGCTCTGCGATGCTTGTAACCAAGACACTTCCAAGTCTTTTACTCAACTTTTTCCATATCTAGGCCAATCAAAGTTGTGGAAGGTGTTTTCCCTGAAAACGAACTTTACTTGTTGGTTTTTCCATATCTAGGCCAACCAAAAACTAAAGTGAGGGTTTTAATTTATACTCCCTCCGATTAAAAAAAAAGTTCCACTTCACTATTCATTGGTCATCTTAAGTCACTCCTAATCTTTTATTATATATATCAAATTTTTATTAAATTGAAATTTTCTTGATCAGGCCTTGTAGCGGTTTTAGTGTAGTTTATTAATATGTAAATTTTATTTACTAAAAATAATTTGAGTGTGAACAGGGATCGAGTTGCTTTATCGTCAGTCAAGCATCGTAAACCGAACTGGAACTTGTTTTTGAATTGGAGGGGGTAATATAAATGGTTAACTACTTAGCTCACACAATAGAAAATATTTAGCTACTTCAGGAAAGGATTTTCTCCTCAAAAGTGGAAACATGATATGGTAGATGAAGGCATTCTCTTCCATAAGTTCAGCCAAAAAATGTTTTTTTTGTGTGTGGTAAATACGGGAAATGCATATATTATTTTCCATGAATGTATTATCTTGCACATCAAACAGAACCACCCTACCTTTACCGTTTAATACTGTTATTCTCCAGAATCTTTCCTACGTAGTACAAAGTACTCCCTTGTCCCATTAAGTTTGTCTTATACCATATTTGGTAATATTTGGGTGGTTACAATTCATTGTGACTTTATTCACACTTTACCAATTCAATACTAACTACACAATCTCACTTTTCTTAATAATTGCACCACTTCCTCTTGTCACGATCTTAGGGAGACAGAGGTAGTATTATTTATTTATAGAAATCTCATGCTAACACTTGTTTTAGTTGTTGGTTTCCATATCTAGTATTTATAAACAGCATTTCCAGCAAACCCTCATTTTAATTTCTCTTTATACCGAAGCTTTTGAGCGCGGGAGATATGGCAAAGCGGACTTTTATCGGACAGGAGAGGATTGTTTACAGCACCGACAGGGATTTGTATGAACAAGGCTACGATGCCAAACAATGGGAACAAAGATTTCAAGAGAGAGATAGAGATGTCTGAACAAGAAGTCTATTACTCCGTATTTGGGTTTTTTGGATTTTCTTCAAGATTTACTTGAATACACATGCATGCACAGTAAGATATTAGTTGCCTCTTGATGAGAGAGATGATTGATTGGATGGATGCGAAAGCTTAAATTCCCGACGATCGTACGTACTGACCTTCAAGTGCAAGGCATGGAGGTGAAATTTCAATGCACATATTCTTGCTTAGTACTCTTTTTACTACGGAGTACTTTTCATTGTAGACTGTTTTCCAGAAGTACAATTTTTTATCAATTTACTGGGAGAGATCGATTGATGTATTTATAAATTTCAATGCTTTTTATGTACTAGTAACTGCTTATATATAGGTAGTCAATGACATCGGTAAAAAAGATGATACTTTACAAATTGGGAGAGATATCGATTGATGTATTTATATATGTATGGTTATGATCTAAAACAAGTCATTCTAAATTTAGAATTAGTACAAATCATTCTAAATTTAGATCAAGTATTGTTCAACCTCAGTATTGTTATGATCTAAAACAAATCAGTCTGGGATCTGGTTCCGTTATTATTTTTTCCCAGTTTCAAGGTTGAAAAAAAAAAGTTCGACGGGAAAAGCAAATGAGTACGATGCGAACCTTCTTGAATTCTACATCGTGCCTTCAATCAACCGTGAAAGCAAATGAGTGTCTTAAGAGAGTTTGTGCTCAACTTTGTTCTATAAATTATTGTCCCATGGTTACGGTTGACACCGACATTTGTAGCATTTGCTTCGTCATTTTTGATAAAATTGAAAATATACCTTCTTTGTCCTTCCACCATTGAAGAACGTCAAAGTCATCCCTTTATTCATACTCAACAGGAAACATTAGATATAAAAAGCTCGTTATTCAAGCTATGTGCAACTACGGGAGGTGATTTTTTCATGAGATTACCAAATGTAGACTTGAAAAGTGAGATTGCTCGGTTTGGTCCCGAAATCTGTAACCCTAGACTGGGTACCCCTATTGGTCACTGGGCAGACATGGATGGTTTTAGGTCTGAAATCGAAAAAACGGACATGGTTTGAGCTCAAATTGTGTCGAATAGCTGAAATCTGTAACCTTAGACTGGGTACCCCCCTTTTTTTTGGAAGAAGGGGGCTTAAATTGATATCATACCATTCAGATAAAGTGTAAAATGATAAAAAGACCATAAGCACCCGCCAACCCTTGAACCAGACTTAGAGTCGATCAACTTCAAAAAAGCAACAACTCGTTGATCCTATAATGGGTATAAATGAGCCAATGACGGTCAAAGCAGACCTCTCATCACTTAATCCTAATGCAAGAGTCTTACAACAATAAAAGTAACCAACAAAAAAATAAACAGTCTGATCATGAAAAATAAATCGCAAGCAAATAGTAAAACTAAAAAGCTGCTTCTCAACCCTAGACTCTCCTGCACCCCCCTCAGGAGAGGGGGGATCTAGCAGTACTATAGCTTTTTCATCACCTTGCCTCTTATTCATCATGTTCTCTACCAAGCCTCCTCTGTCATCACCTAACACAGGCATGGACTCGGTTCGGGCCGATCGGTCTGGCCCGGCCCGGCCCGGGAAACTGGTTTCGGTACCGGGCTTAGGCCCGGCCCGAGGGGGTAACCGGGGGAGGTTCTGGGTCATGAAAAAGGCGAACCTGCCCAGCCGGTAGGGCTGAGCACGGGTCGGGTTCGGGCGGGTCGGGTCTGCGTACCCTAAACCCGTTCGGGTTTTTTAAGTTAAATACTAGGCCCGACCCTTTTAATATTTCAAATCGGGTTTTTCGGATATTTGTAAGTCGGATATTATCGGATATCGGATCGGGTTTCGGATATTTCGGTTATATTAAAAAAATTATAATTAGATAATTAAAGTGTTTGAATGCCCCTTTGACAAATATTCTACAAACTAGTGCACTAAACATTCAAATTACGCAAATAATTTAATACAAATTGCATAAATAATTACACAAATAATTGAACACAAGTATTAATTTAACATATTCAAAGTACACACTACATAATTTAATATGTTTTGAATATTTCGGTTATATTAAAACACATTATAATTAGATAATTAATGTGTTGGAATGTCACTTTGACAAAAATTGTACAAACTAGTGCACTACACATTCAAATTACAAAAATAATTTAACACAAATTGCACAAATAGTTACACAAATAATTGAACACAAGTATTAATTTAACATATTCAAAATACACACTAATATAGTAATATATTTCGGATATTCGGGCGGGTCGGGTTGGGATTTTACAAACCCTACCCGCCACCCGATCTAGGCCCAATACTAATCGGATTTTCGGTTTCGGATTTTTCGGGTCGGATATCCATTTCGGTTCGGATATTATCCGAAAAAAACTTCGGGTTTTGCGGGTCGGTTCGGGTTTTGCTCAGCCCTACCAGCCGGTCCAGGTCTGGTTCGGGCCTTTTGTTTTTTGTTTTTGGTTTTTTAGGTTTGGGCTGGGTTTAGGTGGGCTGGGCTTGGTGTTTCCGACGGGTTTGGGGGGTGGGGGGGGGGATGGGGGTGGTGGGGGTTGGGATAAATAAGAAAACACAAAAAAAAACCGGAACTGGCCTGGCCCAGAACCGGTAGACTCCCGGGCCGATTCCGGGCCTTACCCAAAACCATCCAAGCCCGGCCGGGCCTAGGCCTGAACCGGAACCGGACCGGGCCCAGTCCATCCCTACTAACACACATGACCTCAAATTTAGATCTGTTCCAACCTCTAGCCCCATGCTTTGTCCATGAGTGCCGGTTGCAGGAGACCAAGCATCAGTCTTCTGTCCCTACACAACCTTCGGCCGCCAGAGATCAAGCATACTCTTTTCCCCACTTAATCTCGCCAAAGCAAATGGAGAAATATAGCCGCACATTTGATGGTGGAACAAGAAATCATGTACGCCTAAGTCCGCCTGCGGCGGCCGCTCCTCGTTACAAACGATAGCAGAGGATAAAACCCTACCGGTGGAAACCCACCCTAGAGAGAGACAGTGTCGAGCTCTCAGTTACGAAACTAATTTCTTTTATTCGCTCTGTCGAGATGAAAATAGTGTATTATGTTAATTTCAGTTTCTATTATAACTCGTTAAAAGTCAATAAATTCATTGTGTATCTATATATTCATATATAATGAAAAAACTTAATTACGTCGTTATCAATTTACTATGTAATTATAATTTATTGTGTAATTGTAATTTTCAAAATCATACATTTGGATGTAAAAAAACTAATTTTGGGGAGTAATTTTTTACTTTATTTGGCTAATATTCTTTTATGTTTACCTTTCATACAAGCGAACTATCATTCTTTTTTGTCGTCGGTGACCGTAATATTATATACAAGTAATAGAGTTTAATGTGCACCAAGCCCCTTGTGAGATAGAAATTCAGTGCATTAGCCTCATGTGATTTATTATGCATCGAACTCTCCTGTTTTATATTTAATCATGCGCAAAATATCTTCTATGAGTGAATTTAAGAAAGTAATTATTATTTTCCCAGAAATGTTCTTCCGTTTTGACTTGATACACCAATTAAGAAAGTAAAAATTTGCGGATGCAATTTATAATTGATATAGAAAAACAGCGAACGATATCATCCACACAAATTATTCTGTAAAAAGGAATACAACAACATCCAAGCCTTAATGCCAAAATAATTTGGGGGTCAGCTAACATGAATCAAAACATGATATCAATGCCAAAAAGAGAAGACATACAAGAAGAAAAAAGAAAATGAAAAAATAAAGTAGGCTAAAATGGATAAGATAAAAATAAATATAAGATAATTATAACATAAAAACATAAGAAAGATAAAAGAGCATAAAAGGCTAGAAGATAAAACTAACATAAGAATATAAAAAGATAAAGATGATAAACGATAAAAGAGAAAGAGAGAGGAAAAATAGAAAAAGAGACCAGTCGCCCTCATGAGTGTGCACCCTCTACCTTGCTCTCTCCAAATCCATACTCTCGTCCAACCCAAGACACATATCGGTTCTGATTCCTCTAATCCAAGTCTGTTTGGATCTTCCTCTCCCTCTCCTCTCACGCTCTTCCCCCCACCTCTCAAGTCGTCTAACAGGTGCATCAGTCGATCTTCTACGCACATAACCAAACCACCGCATGCGAGACTCATGCATCTTATCTTCTATAGGTGCTACTCCCACATTTTGTCTGATTATCTCATTTCTCAAGCACTCTTTTTTGGTATGTCCACACATCCAACATAACATACGCATCTCAGTCACACTCATCTTTCGAATTTGACATTACTTCACCTTCCAACACTCTCATCATTTTCATTTTCATTTAACCCAGTGCCGCAAAGGCTCCCACCTACGGTGGGGTGGGGTGGGGGTGGGGGTCGGATATACGCAGTTTTACTCCTGTACTAAAGCACAGAGAGACTGTTTCCGGATGACCCATAGTGAAAATTGCGTCCAAATTGCATGGATTGACTGCTACTTCATAACAAAGAAGCGCAGACAGTTTAGTGAGTCATTTTGCTTTATTCCATCATATTCTCAAGTCAAAAAATAATGAATCTTTGGCTCCATTGCAAATGATGGAAATCCTAATTGTTGTTCAATAAAATTTACCTTTCGGTCTAGTCGGCATATCTCGATCACATAGAAATCATGCTGCACTCTTTCATTCCATCCACTCAGCTCTGATTTTATGAGATACATGTCCATCTAATTCACCATCCTTCTAAATTATGGAGTCGAAGTAATGAAATACATCTCACAGATTAGATCTAAGTATTTGTCCAACGACTGTTAGAGCATCTCCAATGCTTCAATGTGCACGGTGCACATGTGGCATGAAAAATAGCCACATAAATAATAGCAAATAAATTATCACTCTCCTTATTTAAATGATTTTATATAGTTTTGGTAAGTTTTTCTCTGCAATGTCAATCACAATGTCAATATCTAGACGGTCTCCTTGACATTGTGGAGAAAAACTTACCAAAAATTTATAAAATCATTCAAATAAGGAGATTGATAATTTATTTATTAATATCTATGTGGCTTTTATCATGCCACATGTGCACCGTGCACATTGTAGCATTGGAGATGCTCTTAGAATGCTAGACCCAAATTCTCTCTCGACCCGCCGCTTCTCTGCCTTCAGCATGTCCGTATAGGTGAACTCTGAGTACTTAGGCGGAGGGAGTTTTAAATTTTAATGTTGATAATGATAGAGGGAAACTGGAGTCTGTGCCACACTTTTTCAGTCAAAGTTGAATTTACATTTTCTAAATCAATAATATTTGCAACTGTTAGCAGGATTTTAAGTGAGCAAACTCTAATCTAGAAGGAAAAAAATGTAGTGCAAATTATCATTTTTTTCATGTTCGAAGTGCAAGTGTGCAACTCTAATTTCTCCAAAATCAAACTGAATCACTTTTGTGGGACAGACTACAAAGCAGGATACATTACTTTGAAGTAACATTTTTACGAAAGATAATTTATGCGAAAGAATTTTCATATACATGCCAAAAGTGAGTAAAAAATGGCTACAGATACTGGTAAATTGGTAATACACGCCCTGGAATACTCCAGAGACAAAAGGGCTGATGTAAGCCAACTAAATAAATACAAATGATCCTATTATAACCATAACCTTACTCATTAACTGAGAGCTAAAACCTTTTAGTAGAGCTGCTATTGGATGCATAGAATACTCTTTTCCCATTCAAAAACACCTAACTTCTCTACATCATTGATCAAAATAAACCTTGAATCCAATGAATTTCCTGCAAGCATCTTTGAGAAAACTAGTAGAAGTAGCTGGCAAGCATGCATTTCTTCAATCTTTTCGGTATCACTGAGCTTTGAGGAATGATCTTTCCACGGCTGGTAGAATGCCCTAAAGAGCATTACAAGCCATTTTAGCCTTATATACAACAATAAAAGTAAAATCAAGAGGAACAAGACAATAAGTGAATGTTACCATCTCCAAGATGGATTTGCTTCAGCAGGGCATCGAATTTTTGAGCAGAGATCTGTCACATGAGCTGCGTTGCAAATCAACACTTCTGATCCTAATATATGAAGTACAATCAAAAGTTTAACATTTTAGTAAGAAAAATCTGTATTAACAGGAACAGGTCAAGGCTGCCAAAGTCTGTTAATTCCATCTTGAGATCTAGGGTTTAAACTAGGAAAACCAAGGCTCTTTTTGTTTCCAAGATCACAAATCCTTGATTTTATTGAGGTTGACACTGAAAATGAAAATAGAGGAAATTATGTTCATGGAGTACTTTGTCATAGCAGTTTGCCTTTTTTGCACCACAAACATTTTCATTTGACTCTTTTATGAGTTGAATGCCCTTTTCATTATCTCTACTTCATACTTTTTCTACGTGTCCCAATTATATTTCCTATTTCCTTTCAAGGAAAGATTTATGTGGCTGATACTTGATATTCTTTCTCTCTCTTCTACATACATCTGAAACAAAATTCTCTACTTCCACAGAAATCAAGCAAAGTCAAAACCGAAAACAAAAAGGTAGGAAGAGTGATTAAACAACTGATTTAACTGGAAAACGTTTTCCACGAAACTTACCTATCTTTCTGCAATCAAACGGAGTATAAGTAAAAAAGAATAGACTGAACCTGCAGATGTAGGATGCTGAAGAAGACAAAGCGCAGAAACAACTGACGGAAGCAATTTGTAGTTTGTTCCCAGTAACTGTTGCATATAAAAGATGGATGCTGCTAAGGTGATCTCTTGGCATGCAAAATCCTTATTGCTGTCACAATATGTTTTCCCATTCCACTCCAATAAAGATTGCAAGTTGATAAGTTTTGATCGTTCTAGAGATTCTAATTTAATTAAGTTGTATGAGATCTTTCCAAGGATCACTGAAGCAGTCAGCCACCGCAAAAGTTTTGACATGAGAGAATTTTCTTTATCTTTTTCAGAGAATACATTCAAACTACAACGATAACTTCCCAAGACATGTGTTCCACCTGTCTCCTCTGACTGCAGAGCAATTGATATAGCCCATGTAACGAATTTCAAAACCTTTTCTTGGTCCTGAAGACACACATTAAAAATGTCAAAGATCAAAGCTATGCATACAAAAACCACAAAATAAGTTAAATGGAAGATATGACATTTTAAGTTATTACTGCCTCCATGACTCCACCACCCAAGAAAAGTGAGCGATAGTGCTATTTTGTAATATTATTTTTGAAAAAGTGCCTAAAAAGAATCACATATAAGTCAAACATGCTAAACTGTGAACGGAGTATGATATTTAAAGGGCATTAGTACAAATTCCTTGCATAAAGAAGTCAAATTAATCAAGGCGGGAGCCTTCAATTGCTAGTCTATTTGAACAGAGCTAAAGATAACTCTCCAGTTTTGGTCTCAATAAGATTAGGTCAATACGCTTTTGTATTTCTGGTCCCCAAGTTCCTTCCGGCAATATGCAATCAAAAATTGGCTGCTTAAGTGATCAGAAGGATAAAAATGACAAAGAATCCATAGTTGTGCCCTTAGGCCCTGTTTGGTTGGAGGGTTTTGGAGGGGAGGGAAGTGAGTGATTTGTGTGTGTTTGGTTGAAGGAAATAGGGGGGAAGGGGAGGAAAGTGGAAGGCTTCCAAAATCCTCCACCTCCTCCCATTCTCAACCCCCAAATCGGGGTATTTCGGAGGAAACATGTTGATAACCACTAACTATCCATCTCCTATGTGAATGGACAAAAAGTTATAATATAGAAAAGGTAAAAAATAAAAAATTTTAAAAAAATTAAAAATAAAAATTCAAAAATTCAAAAATAAAAAAAAATATAAAATTAAAAAAAAATTATAAATTTAAAAATTTAAAAATTTAATTTTTTTAATAGATAATTAAAAAAAATTTAAATTTTAAAATTTAAAAATTTAAAATTTAAAAGTTTAAAATTTAAAGAAAAAAATTAAAAATATTGTGACTTTTGACCTTAGGAGTAATATTCACAATAGTTAGAGATGTATCTATTTTCTTAAGTACGCTATCAAAAGGTAAATTGAAAAAATATTTTCATTAAACCTTTCCTCCTATTTCCTCTAACCAAACACAAATTTTTACATAAATCCTTCCTTCCCCTTCCCTTTCCTTCCCTCCTTGACTCTCCCCTTCCCTCCCCTCCTTTGAACCAAACAAGGCCTTAAAGTTAAAACAATGATAGCCGGTGACCGAAAGAGGGAATGGCGCAATAATTGTGGGACCAAAGGTGGAATTTCTTCTTAAAATACTAGCAAGCGTCACATTGGCTGTGGGAAAAAAGTATATAGGAGTGCACTGTACCGCTTGTATAATAGCTACCGGAGGAGCACTCATAAGTACAGCTTCAAGTCCAATCCTTGCAATAGTGCTATTATAACATCCTTGGCAGCAAACATCAATGGCTTCACACAAGTTAAATAAGTCCTCAATGGAGACAGTGAAATGAGGTTGAAATACTTTTCTCTTCTGCGATATCTTCCACGTGGAAGTTAGTATTTGAAGAATCAACTTCGTAAGAGAATATTGCTTTTTCAACATCTCAGCCCCTTCAACTAAGATTCGGCACAGATGACAAGAGAGTTCAGAGAGCTGTTCTAGTGCATATTTTTGCAACCACTCAAAAGTGTGTCTGAGGAAGATAATTTCATTGACTACCTAAAGATAAACATGTTAAAAGGCATACAAACCAAATAAAATGGGATACAATAATAAGAGTTTGTACTTTCAACAAAGTATGACAAGCATAACCAGTGGATAAAACTTGTGTTATCAATTGAAGAAAACACAAAAATCACCTCGACTGCTATTCAAAAGCAAGAAGTGGCATATACTAATGCTAGCTTTAGTCGTAGTACAAAAATAGTTGTACAAGAAGTGACTTCCAGTTTCCTATTCTTATCAGGTTTAGGGTTAATGTCTACTATTCCTACTGGGTTTGGGGCTTTGGGCCCACTATTAATCTATAATAAAATTGTAATATTCAGTAGAAAGTATGACATTGATAGAGAGCAGGGAGAACAAGGGGCGGGGACGGGCTTGAGCTCACCTTCGTGGGCTGGCTGCGGGCAATTTAATTAATTTTAATTATTCCTTTTATTTTGTTTCCTAATTTATTTTGTTTCCTAGTATGATTTAATTAGGACTTCTATTCTTATTAGAAATTTAGAATTAGAGGTTTCCTATTTCTATTTAGTTTCCTAGAATGGTTTAATTAGGACTTCTATTAGAACTAGAGGTTTCCTATTCTATTTAGTTTCCTATTATGATTTAATTAGGATTCCTATTCTTATTAGACATAGAGGGTTATTTATACCCTTTGTATGCTTCATTCTTGATCATCTCGGAATAAAGTTGGATTTTAGCTCTTTGGATCTGGGCAATGGTTTTTATCGTTGATTATCTGGGCAACGGTTTACCCTGTTGATATTTTATTTTTCTGTTCTCAACAGATATTGTATGTTGGAAAGTCATATATAAAAATAGTACTCCCTCCGCCCTCATCTTTGTACCATTTTACCTTTTTCGTCCGTCCCAATAAGTTTGTCTCCTATCACATTTGTTAATATTTGGCTGGTTGCAATTCATACTTTACTCAAACTTTACCAATTCAATACCAACCACACCACTCCCTCATGTCCCACACCACTCCCTCATGTCCCAAATTTAAGGGGACGGAGTTATGCAAGTATTCAACAATGGTATTTACCTCCAGGACAAGAGCCAAATGAGTGGAAAGAAAACCTTTCTTCTCGCCGTATTGAATTCCACAGAAGGATGTAACAACAGAGGAGAGCCATGAAATCAAGCCACAATGTTCAATCAAGTGCCGCACCATTTTAGATAATTTGGTAGACTTCTTGACGATCTGCAATTTGACCATTTAGTTGTGTTTCTTTGTTCACACTCATCAGTTTGATTGCAAAATATATTTAGGTGTAGCAAAATTGCAATAGTAAATGAAATATGGAGTAGTAAATAGCCTACCTGCATAATTAGTTCTTTTGTTTCGTTATCAGCAAGAGGGGACATGTAGAAACTCAGGAGGGTCTCGAAAATGGAGTTTCTGATGTATATATGAACATCATCATCTGTGTTCAACCCTGAGTACAATAAGCGAAGTATCCACAGCCTGTCTGTTCTGAAATTAACCGAGTTACTCCAGAACGAATCTTGGAACAATGGAATACCCTGGCAGAGAATCCAAAGGGATGGAAGAAAAAATAAATTGTTATAATAGATAGACTTTGTAGCTTGTAACTGCTTGTTTGGTTGATAGTCAAATGTGACTACACTGTCTGAGAGTGAGATACATGGGATTATCCATATGAGATTGTTTAAAAAATTACCTTGAAACTCGCACTAGGAGATCGCATTAGTTGCTTAGTTATAGTTGAATAACGATCATGGGAACGATCCAAGATCACAAATGAAGCCTCTGCAATGAATATGGCAGTTATAGAGGCAATTTTTTGCCAATCTTCTTCTAAGCAATTCTGCAAATATGACAGTAGAAGTTGCAGACGTGTGACGTCCCTCTTCTTCTGACATTTCTGCAGTCAAAACATTGGACTTTCAGAACTACAACATTGCACAATGAATTTGCAAATAATAATATATTCCTAAGTGCAAACATCAGTGTCTTTATATTGCACTTATATGTTCCATGTTTGCTTTTAAGATAGTTATCCACGTGGGATTAACATCAGATATTCACAAGTAAAGATGAAATCACGGGGATGCAGTTATTGCTTCTAGTTTGTCAAACCGACATGTTTCTCTTTGTCTTCGAGAGTTTGACATTGATACTCCTATTTAATACGGAGTATGATACTTGTATTGATTATTCTATCTGTTATCGGTAGATGCAAGAGTTGAAGTTTTCTCTTGACATACAATTTATCAGAGGTTTTGACTTCTTAACTAGCAAAGATACCAGAAATTTAGGTTTTATCACTTAGTATAGGAATTATTGCTGAAACATAATATTTCTTTTCTCTATCAACCAAAAGAGTCTAGGAGAAATATTATTTGCTTCGTCTGTTTTTGTTTATAAACTTGAGACTTAGTTTCAAACACATATATATTAATGACCTTTCTGATTGTGTGAAGAAAACACTCCCTCCTCCGTACATGAAAATCATGTTTGGTAAAGGCACAAGTGCACAACTTTTTTATTTCTGGAAAGGTAGAAGTCTTAAAAATCATGGAATGGCGCACATGTATTCAGTTCAAATTTGTTTAACTAAATTTATCATATTGAACTTGTCTGCAACTTTTTTTAAAGTACATGAAAAACTAGTTCTGTCTTTCGGAGTATGAATTAGGACTCTTTTGGGACATGTAGCTTTTGGAAGCACTTCTTCTTTTTCAGAAAGATAGTTGTAAATTGATAAAATCATAAGAGTATCTTAGCTACTGAGTATACTCCAAAGTCCTATGAACCTGCAAGGCATCCTATGTGGCTACTATTTCGAAACGGTTTGGACATTGAAAATGTGGTTCAGCCAGGCATTACATCAATGCATACAAACATTGACACATTGTGAATCATACTCAGAAGTATAGCAGTGCCAAACCTCTAAAACATCCTTGAATTTTTCAAGAACAGCATATCCTAGCTTCCTTGTACCATCATCACGAGAAGATATACTTGCAAAAGAGACAGCAAGCAGGCCTAAATTAGCAAACTCAGCAGGTTCGATATAGCCCATAGAAAGACAGTGGAATGAGAACCGTAAGATGAAGATGGGATCATATATAAGTCTGTTTTTAACCTCTACAGAACAAACCTGTCAGGGAAAAATGGCAGTAAGAGAATATCAAGATGATACTGAACAGAAAAATCCGCAGAATGTATAGCATTAAATTCACGCAGTTAATAAATATACCTCTTGCATAGAATTGGGAATATCCTTTTGAGCATTGTTCACGATTCCTGGACCATCTGCTCTCCAATGTGGAAAATAAAGCACAGTATGTGCACACATCCTGGGATCGATGGGGAGGTTTTCCCTGAACTGAATTTTGCAGCACTCCTCAACCCCTTCAGCATCACTTAGATTGCATGAAACAGACTGTGTCAGTTCTCTCTCTTTCCTGAGTTGCACAACTGCATTACCCCAGAGATAATCCCATTCTGCAATACCTTGAGCACAATTGTCACTAACTGACACAATGTCATTCAGAAGGTTGTATATCTCAAGGTCAGTCTCGCTAACGGTTGCACTATATGATGATAGTAACAAATATATCAAATCTTTTAGGTTTATACCAATGCCTTCTGCAGATTCAATATCTACTTGTAAAGACTTCACTTGAAATAGTTCCCTAAGTAATCTAATAAGCTCCAACTGGTGTGAGTGTTGCTGAAAAACTTGCAGATTGCCCTTCTTGTCATTGGAATTATTATCAATGCAAGGGGTGACAAAAGATCTCATGAGGCTCGGCAAGGGAGCAAATGTCATACCAAGCTGGGAGCTTCCACTTGACAAATTGGAAGAACGAATGGCAGGTTCAAACCGGGAGTCATTCACCATCAATTTAATTATTGAATCACATGAGAACTTTCCTTCAGATAGAAATGATATAATATTTCGAAGCTTCTGCAGTGTCGTAGGATCATCAAACCTGTGCAAAATAGCCGTTTTGGCAAACTTTTCTATGAACCGAAGAGAGTCCAACTTGAGAAGACAACTTTGCATCTCTTTACAAAGTTCCACAACATTTCTCAAAATAAGATCTTCCAAAAATCTGAACACAGAACACTGTTCAACTGCCATTGGACAGGATTCATCAGTAATCCTTGGAACTTTCCTGACAATCTTTTGCCAGGATGAGACCAGCGTCCTCAAAAACCAGATTCTTGATGAGTCTACATTTGATTGAAATTTAGCAGGAGTCTCCAATCCATATTCACTCAGCCAAGAAGAAAACTTGTTATGTTCAGGGAATAGCAGTGTTCGGCAAAGTTCTATCTTAGCAACAGTCCTATTAACGGAGTTCAAAGACCGCTCAAGTGAACAAATACTTACTTGACTAGGATCAAAATCCAGAAAATCAATACACGTACTTTTTTGTGGGCAAACAGAGTCAAATAGTTCCAACCGTTCTTCGAATTTAACCAAATCCCCAGTTAATGCTAAACAAAATTGCACCATAAGAACAGATGTTGATAACAGACTGCTGGAGAAGATATCAAAAAACTCTTCCATAGATAGGCACTGCTTGTCACAACATTCCATGTCAAACATGTCTCTGGTAACATAGCACTTCCATTTAAAGAAAACATGCAACAATATTCTCCAGTAGAAGGAAGCGATAGTCTCTAAATATAAAACATGGCTCCCAGCTTTAATAAGAACTGAATCTAAATACAAGAATACCGTGGGAAGAAGCATCAACATCTCAGGATCAGAGATATCAGAAGTTTCTCTTGTTGCATTAGTCTTCAAATGAACGTGCTTGCCAATCATATCTGATAAAAGGTGGCCAAATATTGAAAGATGTACAGGACTCATTTGAGTGATAAGGAACAGTAGTTCAGCCTTTCTTTTAGTAACTTCAAACATACAATAAGAAAGCATGTCTACAGGAACATTTGACACAAGTCTTGATATAGCCATAGCTAAACTGAAACTCGACTTCTGCATACCTCCACACTCTTTAACAATTTTGAAGGCTTGAAGCAAGCACATATTAGCAGCATCCAGATGAAGATGCGTGGCAATCTTAATGACATGCAAAAGGATTTTCTCAAGGAGGAGAACATCAAATTGTTTCTCATGCAAATCGCAACTCACATCAAAAGATGATCTTTCAGAGTGTGGCTGCCGCAAGCAAGCTGACAGCGAACAAAAAACAGAAAAAGCCATTTGTAATGCAACACTGAAGAATGAATCTCTGAAAGACAGATGAGAGGAACTATCCTCAAGGTCTATTCTAGAGAACATCCAATTAACACATTCAAGCAGCTCAAAGGGAGATATAAATTGCTTCAAAGTGTGTAAAGCACAAACTTTTTGAAAAAGCGGGGTCAAGTCTTTATCTTCTAGACACTTATCAATCGAACCCCTGAAGGTGAAAATTATTTTCTGCACCACCTTTTTAAAAGCAAGTGTAACATGTCTAGCATGAAAAGCCACAGATGAAGAGCTTTGGTCAAAGCCAAAATCCATGAAGAGCTCAGAGGCTGTTCTCATAAAGTTTATGGCATGTAGATCCATAATGTGAATCATCTTCCATTTATTTGATTCAAAAAAATTATCCATACTGTCCCGGATATCTGTACAATCAGCACTACATGGTAAAGGGCACTCAAGAGCAGCTGTCAGAGCAGGGTGAGAAAAAATAGTTTCAATTAGTTCTTGCACACATTTGGTTGGCAAAAGACACCTGGTGCATTTGGAGCTTGCATCAATTTTTGTATGAAGTAATTTTCTCAGCATGTGGTCCATAATAGTAAAGCACCATTCACAAAGCTTTTCCAATTCCTCTCGTGGTTCAACTCGATAGGATCTTTGTGCTTCTTTTAAACAAAATAGAACATATTGAAATGAGGATATAATATAATCTGGTGTTCTATCAGATAGGCTAGCGAGAATGAGATCTTGCAGACCCTGCTGATCGGACAAACCAAACCTATAAATCCTCGGAATAACAGGAAAGAGCATATAAAATGGTGCATGCCTCAAGAACAGAGAGAATGAAGCAGATGCAAGCTCCATTGAATCAATGCCACCAAACTCTTCAGTTCTTTCTCGTCCTTCAGGTAATCCAGCAATAGCACTTTCCAGACCAGCGTGGAACATTTCTGGCCATACCTTAGAAACATCGATGAAAAAATTAGGTTCAAGGAAGAAGATCAACATCAAGAGTGGGAAAGGTACCCCAAGCATTTTATTCGAGACTGATATAGTTAGTGGAAAATTTTGGAGTAAATCAGCCTGTTGAGTACATATAATTGAATTGGACAATCCAATCCCCATGGCAACCAGCATTTCATCAGATTCCATGTCACAAAAACTTCTAACTTCGTGGAGAAGCCTTGTGAAAGAATTCCCAAGATGCCCAACGTCCACAATGGTGGAAGAGTTGTTGCAAGTTGGAGGTTGTAAAATACTACTCGAGAATTGGAATAACTTCTTCAATGGAATCCACGCGCATAAACTGTTGGAGTCGCCAGCAATGTCAAAAGACTCTTTGAGTCTTTCAGAAAGCAAAAGACTCAAGAGGGAAGACAACATTCTTGCATCAACCTAATACAGATCAATTATTGAGTGTCAGCTGTCAAGATTGTAAGAATTTAAATGATCACCACTGAATTAGAAACAATGACATCTCATTTTCAAAAAATGATAGCGTGTCACCTGTGTTTGCAGGATATACTTTAATGTGTTGCTAACATACAATGATATCATTGACTTGTCAGGAAGAGAGGAGGATCTGGATTCAGAACATAGTAACCTTAGGCACTTCTCCAAGATACAAATACTAAAACAGCTGAAGGTAACTGATACATCTGGCAACAACATAGTAAAAGGTCAAATATATCAAAGCAGCAAGACTGCTCCAGATACACACATTGTATATGATGAATAAACCACATAATTTTTTCAAATACCTTTACCATCTTGACATTTGCGGATATAGGACCTCAAGAGATCCATGTATTTGAATATATGATTACCAGCTGTTGAGACGGCATCACACAGAAAAGAAAGAATACCAGAAGACAATTTTCTGAACATTTTTAGCTTTATGTCTACAGCGATAGTACAGCCATCACCGTACCCAGGAATAAACATGAGCCATACACATACTTCCCTTGGATTGTTATCAAATGCACCAGTACTTAACATGGCCGCCTTTGCCAGAATGTATGCTTGATCTTTGACGCTTCTCTCTGGAGAATAAATTAATAAATTGAGTAGGGGAAGCAGATGCTTGTACAATTGGGTTTGAGCCCTGGTGGCAGGCTCAGATGTGGAATACAGACGAATACTCTCAGTAATCAAAGATAACAAAGAGTGCTGTAAAATAATTGGCAATGCCAAAGGATTGCTTGGAAGAAGTTTGGAGAAATCAAATGACCCCTCCAACATATTGGACATAGTGCGCTGCCAAAAGAAGGAAAACTATGTAAGCAATACAAAAGGGAGCAGTTCTCTCCACTGGGAGGGTTGATATGTAGTTCATGGTTGTTCCAGTAACAATTTCAAAACTTTATGCATCTAGATTATTTCCTCTCAATTTCAATTACTTTTAGATATCCTGTGTTAATTTTAATTTTTCATGAAAAAAATATGTTGAAGGGGAGCCTTGGCGCACCGGTTATGGTGTTGCTGTGTGACCGAGAGGTCCCGGTTTCAAGTCTTGGGAGCGGCCTCTTATTAAAATGACAAGGGGAGGCTTGCCCCCTTATATACCCTTTTGATGGGACCCTCCCCGGACCCTCGGCTTGCAGGGACGCCAATGTGCACCGGGCTGCCCATTTTAAAAAAAAAAAATGTCGCAAATGATCTTCTGCGCAATGTCTGCTGGATTCTGCATAGCTAGAACACTAGATTTTCATATAACACACTTTATGTGCATAGCCATTAACAAGTCGATACCCAAGTACAAAGGTGCAGCATTGTTGGACTCAAATTGTTAGAGTTGGAAGCTTTCATCGAATTAACTATTTAAGCTGAGTAGCAACTGAAAGTTTCGTGCACCCTCAAGTGGCTTGAGCAAGTATTATAAAGGGTTAAAAACTTACATAGTATAGTTTCAGAACATCAAGTAACTTTGTATAAAAGATTGTTTCTGCATCTTCAACTGTGTCCTTAGATGAACATGAATTCTCAGGCCAAAGTTCTCTTATAAGCTTTAGGTAGTGAGATTCAGTTTTACGCTGAACTGGGTCATCATCATTAAGGATTCTTTCATCACAATCCAGCATATCTGTATCACCATCGGAAACACTAATCCCGCTGACTATAATATCAATATCCCCGTTCAACTTTTTATCAGTTTTCAACTTTTTCCTGCTACTCGTATTGTCGCCGAATGGAATTTTTGAATCAGCAGCTCTTTTCAAATGTGATTCGAGGATTTTTTGATAGTCATTAAGTGAAGACAGTAAAGAGAACAAAACTTGAGGGTCAGGAAGCGAAATCCTGACTTCATTCACCAGATCTAGCTTGAGAGATGCGCATAAATGCATCATTTGAATATCAGAAGAGGAGATGTGGTCCAATGCATCAATTAGAGAGTCAAAAAATCTCAGTGACTCCAAAACAAGCTTCAAAGTTCCATGTTTCACGAGGGTATCAGAATGAAGCAACCCTTTGTTGATAATGAGCCGAGTAAATGGACATGGGCAAATGCATTTCAGAATACTTCGGATATCTGAGTTCTCAATACTTTTTGGCTCATGCTGCAGAGCATTAATAATAAAGCCAAAAGAACAGCCATCATGGACTGATAAAATGAGATCTGCAGCCAGAGAAATGATACCAAACCTGCAAAAAATTAGTTATCAAGCACAAACAAGATGGGTAGTAGCCAAAGTAGAGTTATTTAAGCGTGTATGTGTTAGCTGATAATATTAGATCATTTGAATAACCGATTATACTTATAGTCGATTATTATGTAATCTATAATAATCACAATCAAATTTTGTTTAGGTAAGCTTGCTGAAAAAAAGGAGCATGAAAATAGCAGGGAAAAACTTTTGAATAATAAACTGATCTACGATATCACCTAATGCTCTCACATATACACACAATTTTAAAAAGAAAACGGTTCATAATCTAAAGGACAGCTTATGAGCTGTAACAAACATGCTCTAGTTCTGAGAGAAGATTAATCTAACCAATTAGGTGATGCAGGATCATCAGTGTTATAAGGGAAGGCATCCAAGTATGCCGAGCCTAATGATGGCTTCCCTTTTACGATTGCCAGAAGAAGGTTCATGTGGTACTCAGTTTCTGTTGCTCTCAGCTTCTTCATGACATCCAATAGTCGTCTTGGATTACCAGTCAAAGGACTAGGGACTCTCTCTGGATCTGGCATCAACCCATTCAAAGGGTCGGTACAAACCATTAGCAAGACAGTATGAGCTAGCTCCGCAGCTTCCCCTCCATCCTCTCTTCCAGAAATGTTAACCAGTTGCTCCAAAGTCAAGCTACCGAAAAGTACACTCCTAAGTCCAGGTGGAACCAATGACTCAGGAACAAGAACTCGATCACGCAAAACTGAGAGAACAAGAATCACTGTTTTGTCTTCATCGTTTCCTAATCCACGAAGCACCCCTGAATACATATCCTTCTGTTGCAACACACCCCTCAACAACCTGGGATTACCCACTTCTAAGAAAGACATTGCAAACTTCACAAACGCCTTCCTAGTCGAAGGCTGTTTCTTCTTCCCGTCTCCGACTTTCCTGGGTTTCCACTTTGCTGCGTTCCGAAAAAATGGAATCTTGAAATCAAAATCTTTTGCTACCTTCCCCGCTAACCATGAACCACGCTTCACAATTGCAGATAACAATGAAAGCGTGGCATTCTGGCGCTTGACGTCTTTACTGTTCAACTCCTTGAGCAAATCCCCCATCTTCTCATCCACAATCCAACGCGCAAACTTATCCAGCTGAGCATTGTTGTCTAATCTCCCGAAAGGATGGCTAAGAACAGCTGCAATAAGATTGAGGATGTTCGAAAATCCCAGACTGCCTTTCCGTGTCTCCCAGACCTGCGAGAGCTCAACACATTTAGGAGAGTTTTCTATATATAAACGAAGCAATTCTGGACCAGATTCAGATTTTAGAAACTTGATGAGATCCTTAGAAGCTTCGAAGCAAAGCTGACTTTCCGCAGAGGTTAGGTTGCGGAGGAGTTCCTTGAGCTTGACTTCGACGGGGACTTTTCCCTCGAAGTTGTGAAGGTTCCACACGCCTCCATAGCCCACTGTCCCGGCGTCTTCCATTAACACTAACACTCTTCACTCGACCAGTTCAATCTATCGAGTGAAGAGCAGAAATAAAGCGATGGACAGGAGGGGAAAACCTTATACCCTAAACGGTTATGCCGTTAAAACTTAAACCCTTCTTGGAGCATCATAAGAAATTGCTGTTATTCCTTAATTAGGATGTTTTTACTTGGACCCTAATTTGTCCCAGACCAGACCAGACCAGACCAGACCAGACTAGTTCAGACCAGACCAGACCAGACCAGACTTGAATAGTTATAAAAATACAAAGAAACCAGACCTTACCAGACCAGACCAGACCAGTTCAGACCAGACCAGACCAGATCAGACCAGACCAGCAAATTACAGTCCAAGTAAAAACATCCTTAATACTATCCTCCGTATCTTTTTAATCGCAACGTGTTGACTTTTTGCAATGTTCACATGATCTACTTTGACTACATTTTACACTATTATTTTATGGAAATTACTTTTAAAAATATATATATTTCAATTCATCTCATTACAAATTTTCAAAATCTGATTTTTAATATTTTTTTATTAATAGAGATTGAGATATACTTACGGTCAAATGTGTGTGTTTGCAAATGTGCAAAGGTTGACTGTTGTAACTAAAAAGAACGGAGGAAGTAATTAATTAATACTCCGTATAGTACTACTAAACTACCAATAAAGTGCACAAATGTGAATATTTTGTTATGAATATAGAACTCATTTGATAAAGAATAAAATTTTAAAGAATTAAAAATACATTTTCCTTAATTAGAAGTGAATAAGTACTTCTAGGAAAAATAAAGATATTTCTGTTTGTGTACTTTATTCATGTTTTAATTGTGTTTAGAAAAAATCTTCAAGAATTTGACCTATTAAGAATGATTTCAAATTTCAAAATATGAATATGATATCATATTTAGAAAATAGTGTCAATTATTGTAATATATCTTCATATATAAAACTTTAAAACATCAATATTACTTCTCAAGATAATGTGAAAAAATATCTCTTATTTTAGAATTTCTAAATTTGATACGGAGTATTTTTTTATTCTTATTTTGATAATATTCTATGTTATTTAAAGGTTGAGAACTTTGGTGATTTTTTCCGTGGTGTGCGTCCATTTTTTATTGGTTTGGTTAGTTGGTTTAGAGGACGGGAGAATGAGATCGAATTATAGTGATTTAAATTGGTATTGGTCTTTTGGTTGGTTTTAGTTGTGTTGTTTCAATTAATTTTGACATTTTGATACTTTTGGTCGTTTTTTGTCATTTTGAAGTACGAAGTTTAAGGATTTAAACCTTAACATTGAGCCAATTATAGCTACTTTGGACAATTTTATTTTCTCGTTCAATTATTTAGTTTTATTTCAGTTGGACTTTTCAATCAATTTCGATCTACAAACATTTTCTTAATTATTATGTCCGGCGACGGTTTTTCGACAATAGTTGGACAAATGTAGTAGGGTCGGTGCTAGGGCAAATGTTGGATATAAATTACAATGGGTTTAATTTTATTATTTAAACAAAATGGTTAATCATATATTTGGAAAAATAGGAACTAATCATTTTTGTCTTTCAGAAGAGTAGGCATAAATTTATGTCATTTATCTCAAAATTTAGTTGCACATGAAATAAGAAAGTAAAAATTTTATGATTGAGTTTTGAGAATAGAAGATAAAAATAACAGTAATCTCAAAAATAAATGGATCTAGTATTTAAGGTCAAGGGGGTGAAATCTTTTATTATTGTAGGGTTTTGCCGATTTTTGTTCATATATATATATATATATATATATATATATATATCATTAGCACATACATGACATTTAAATCTACTGCACTCTAAGTTTAACAATACAAAAATAACTTAATTAGATTTCATAATTGAAGTGCTCTAGAAAAAAAGTATTGTTAAATTAGAACATAAGCAATGAAATATCAAAATAAAATTATTTGATAATAAAAAAGGTTAACATTTTATTAAATTATTTGAACATAGAGAGTCTAACAGGTAAAACTTCACCAATTTTTTGTAAATAAACAATGTGTTGTTTAAATGTATGAAACTTATCAAAATAAAGAACCAATTTTTGAATTACTTTTTGGTTTATAATGAGTGTTTGTAAATCACAATGAGTCTTTTTTAATATTACAATAGTATGAAAATATTTATTTTTAGAATAATATTATGTTACTAATTCATATTTTTGGTGCATATATATTTGCAATAATACTAGAATATTTTAAAGTTTATTAATTGTTCAATATTTTTTAAAAATAAAATCAGAACTAAATAATTGTACAATTTTAATGTCACACAAACATTTATATTTTGGATTCACTTCACATCATAAAAGGTGTTTAACAATGTGTATGATATATAATATTGTTTGTGTTTTACAAAACTAGTACTACTTCTCTCATTAAGATAAAGTAAATATTACAAAACTATGATTCTTTTTTTATAGAATAAGTATCATAAGTCTTGAACCAATAATATCATATTAAATATTAAGTACTATATTATGTAAGACTATAAGCTTATTTTAAAAACTAAAAGTTAAGGGGGTAGTCACCCCTGAACATGTATATCTAAATAAAGTATGATCTTTTAGAAAAATAATATAGGAAATTTTGATAGTTAAAGAGGGCAGTCGCCCCCAACCCCTCACCCCTAGATGACTAGATCCATACTTGATCACATATATATTGCTTTAAGTTGAAATGATAAAGTTTTTTAGATGACAAAACACAGAAAATCGGCAACATTTTTTGAGTCAAAGATATGATATTAGACAAATGGGATACTAATTTGATATCATTTTTTTTAACTTTATGCTAAATTTTTCTAATGCTTTCCACATTTTAAAAAGTTTGAGATTTGGAAACTATAATCATAAATTTATGTTATTTACGAATATATCTCAGCTCGTTAGCAATTCCAGAAGAACTAATCACCACATAAAAAATGTGGCACAATTAGGTTGCAGTTCGGTTTTGTGAACTTGTCAACAGGGTGATATTACGGAGTATCATATTATTGTTGTGAGTGTTTCAAGTAAGATAAAATGGCTAAAAACAAGGATTGCATTGTGAATTTCAACACGGTAGGAACATAAGGCACCAAGCGTAACGATTCAATGAATAGAATTTAATAAATATTTCGTTATTTCGACCACTTACATTCACATAAGATCAGCACAAGGGATATGAGCGTTAGACACAACAAGTAAAAGAGCATATTGTGTACCAAACAAAGATAGCACAACAGCACAAGAATATTGTACTCAGAGTGCATAACATTTGCACTTTGACACTAGAAAGAAATGACATCGAGGAAATAATATATGGACTCGCTCACTTCTTTTGAAGAACTTTCATACCAAGGAATGCCACAACCCGGCTGACTAAACCTGTAAGGATGAGAATAGCCAAACAAAGTCCCCAGTTGTGTATATTGTATCCATATTGCTGGAGTGCCCCACAGCGCGTTATGAGCCATACACCATAATATCTGAAGTTAAATAACCAGAAAAGTAATCAAATAATATTATGGCCATAAATGAACTAAATCATTAGTGAATTATTCTGGTTTAGTGCCATCAAAGCTTGTTTTCAGCTTGTTTTTTAAAAATCACTAAAATTTAAAATAAGCGTACGGCGTACCAAACTCAAATTGGATGTCTCAGGTTCACTAGCTAGCTTTTTCCTTGTTCGTAAGCTAGTGAACCTAAAAGGCTAAAACGGGTAGAAAACATTTAGTTTATAATTTTGATATGTTTGAAATTTGAATATATTCGAAATGTAAATGTGTCATACTTGATTCTTCTTTTTATGTATTTTACGCATGTCATATTCGAATAAGCTTATAAGGTTAGTAAATATTACTTTCGTATAAGCTCATCGAAGTTCAATTAGGCTTGAAAAAGTTTGCAACAATGAATAAGTTTGATCTATCTGATGTTTAGTTGAGCTTAGTTCATTTTCAGCCTGTTTTTGGCAAAAAAGATGAATCAGAGGCATTTGGGATTGAATGATTGAATGATTGGTTGAGCAGTATGGTAAAGAGAGCCAACTAATGTGCCCGTTTGGGATACTTCTTGTTGGCTTATCTGTCACATAGTTCACTAAACAGTAAACACTAACTTATTCCATTGCACTCGCTGAATCAGCTGATTAAAAAAAGTAGTTCAAAATGAGCAAAATGAGTTGCAATAGATTAAGTTAGTGTTTTTTTACTCCGGGGGGGCCTGGGGGGCATGGAGTAATCAGGGATGAAACTCACTCCATTGAGTTTCGAATCCTTATGTGCCTAGCGGGTTTCGAACTCGAGACCTCCCACTAGGCACGGTAACCTCACAACCAGCTGGGCTGGAATGCTTGGTTAAGTTAGTGTTTACTGTTAACTGAACAGATAATTGACACATCAACCTTGGCCTTTAGATACTCTATTATTTTCTTTAGTTTACGTAAAAATACATTTAAAAGTTAAAACATATTTGAGATAGTAAAGCCAATTAAGCCATTGCAAGTTTGCAAGCACTATTTCATCAGATTCAGCTGTTACAAAAAAGGCTCTTAGTAAATGTGCAATACTGAAATGTGTACCTTTCTGCATTTGCGATAACAAAGGCTTGTAGTGCCCATTTTGGATAGCACAAGTCAGCTATGACATTAAAAAGCTTGCTACCCGAAGATTGTGTAGCAACGAGAGTGAATACCACAGGAACAAGTACAGCACACTGCAAGAAAGGGAAAAATCTATAGTTAGTTAGGTAGTTAGTCATCTTGAATAGGGCCCAAACTGTAATAATTAAAAGCTTTCCATACCAGCTGGGAAGGACCCGGTTCAAGAAAGATGGCGAATGCATAACCCATACCCGTAACACAATAGACAAGGCAGAGTAAGACGACATAATTATCTGCAAAAGTGGACCTTGGGTTGCAAAAGAAGTAGAACATGGAGAGATACACGGCTGGTTTAATTATGGTATTGAAATGATCTATTGTATCTTTGGATACAAAATGAGCAAGACTGCTCATGCCAGAAGCACTTTCTCTCCAGTAGTGCAACT